TGAGTAATTTCCATTTCCCAAAGCAGGAGGAACCAGAACTAAGCCACAGATTAGGGTATAAGAATTCCTGTGTCTTAGAGCTGTCTGGCTGGACTGTCTGTGTTGTATTTCCTTGTTTTGTACCAGACCAACAGACAAACATAAAAAACCCACATCAAAACCCCAAGTAACTGGATGGTTCTGGTTTATGTTTTTAAATTCTGTTGTGATACTTATGTCTGAGAATAATAGAGCATTTATCTGAAATAATAAATGACTGTCGCAAATAAGCGACATGGCTCTGTGCCCACTGTTTATCTCATTTCTTTGTAAAAGAAAATGGAATAACCTGAAATGGGGCAGTCAGGGTTGTTTGATGATTCTTGACATACTTTGATACACTGATAACTGAGTTCTAGATAAATAAGCAGTTGTTTGGACAACTTGCCAGTTTTCCACAGAAAAATATGTGGACACATATGCATGCGCACGCACACAGAATGTGTAATGTATATACATATACTTGAGAGTGTGTGTATGTGTTTTTTTATATATATATATATATATATATATATATATGTATATCTTTGATAACCTAAAAGGTCATTCTTAAAATCCTATGACTTAAAAGTCCTGCTTTATGCAGTGATGCCTAATTATTTTGGGATATTGTCGGAGTGTTAAGCTGGTTTTAGGTCCAATCTCGTTCAGACTAGATGGTTGCAGTGCGTAGTTGAGCTGAAGAAAATAATCCCAATAAAGGCATTTTACTGTTTCTTTGCTATTTACTTTACTATCTCTGCACTGTTTGAAATTATGTTCAACTATAAAATGTAAACTGAAACTGTGTCCTGCTGTAAAATGTAAACCTGACTTTGTGTTGCTCTTAAGCATGAGATGAGCATAGTGCTGATCTGAGCTAGCAGTGTCATAAACGTCTTGGGTGTTTCCTGAAAACTGCCCTTTACTGCTCGGCTGGCTGTTCCCGGGCAATTGCCACCAGGGAGGCTGATGGGCTTGGCCTCCACACGGCAGCCTCCACCCGGGTGGCACTGCCGTGGCCTCTGCGCGGCCTCTCCGTGAGCTCCCTGCCTCGAGCTGCAGGACGTTGAACTGCCGTCTGCTCAGCCCAGCAGCTCTGTGGTGCTCAGTGCAAAATTTAATCCTTACGTGGCAATACTGAGGGGGGGGAAAAACCAAAACCCTCTTAAAAAAACCTCTTTTCTTCCATTTTTCAGTCCATGCAAAGGCTGAGCCTGTTGCTGTGTGTTGCCCAGCCCCTGCTTGGCTGTTCTTGTGCCAGTGGCTGCCCGTCCCAGTACCCAAGGACCTCAGCACTGCCCTCACTGGCACCAGCACTGAAATAAAGTTTAAAGAGCCCCAGACTGTGTGTGTGGGGACAGTCTTTCAGTACATGCGTGGTGAGAAGCAGCCTGAGCTCAATGTCCTCTTCTCTTTTCTGCAGGTATTCAAACCATCGACTCCACCCAGGCGTTGTTCCTGCCGATCGGCGCGTCTGTGTCTCTCCTAGTCATGTTCTTCTTCTTCGATTCCGTTCAGGTTGTCTTCACAATATGCACAGCAGGTGACTAAAGTTTTCTTCTCGCTGTAACAACTGAAGTAGAAAAGAGAGCATCAGTGCTATTCGGTAGTCACTAAGAATTAGGATGTGTCACGGGGTGTTTGGAAACAAAAAAGGAACTCATCTGTTTTCAGGATTATATTTCCATCTCTCCCTAGCTAATAATAAAGTTACAAATATTATTTGAGGAGCATTTTCCACATAGAGATTTGATAAACCTGTTGAACTACAAATTGCTAGTTTTGAAGAACACTGGATATATTATTTTACCTTAAAATATCAGTGTTACAGGTCAGTGCTCAGAGTTGCATGTATGTTTTCGGAATTCAGGTCCTGTATAGGATACGAACATAATTCAGTTGGAAGGAACGTCTGGAGGTCATATCCAGACACTTCTCTTCCTAGTTTAATTTTGGTTTTACTTCTCTGCTGCTTTTTGTTTGTTTATTTCAAGGGTACTTCTGGTTTCATTGTTTTTTATTTTCCTCTCGGGCACGTCTTAGAACAAAACTAAAGTGAAAGTTGCAGAAAAACAGGATCAGAGAGTGTGCAAGTTGTTACTACTTGTGCTTTGGTGTCTAATTAAATACCAGTACTTCAACTTTGGCAAAAATTTGCCCCTCTGATTCTCGTATAATTATCCAAGAAACCAGCTGCTATTCGGGATTAAAGATATATTTTTTTTAACTGTTTTTTCTCCTTGCTCTGGATTTGCAGGAATCTTTAAAAATTGCCCTCCTCAGCCTGCACATTGAGGGTTTCCCCCCTGCAGCAGCTGCAGCCCTGGGCATCCTCTGCAGCCTCCTCGAGAGGCTGATACGGGGGTCCCCAAACCCCTCCCCATGCCCAGAGCCTTGAGCTTCCCATTCCCAATCCCGGGCACAGAGTTCTCTACAGACCTGCTGTCTGCTGCTTTTAAAGCCTTTTCCCGTGATGTATATATACTTTCCTATTAAAAACATATTGCTTGTATAAGTTTTACACTGTATTCGCTCTCGGCGGCGAGGGAGGCCTTGTAAGGAGAGACACCTTTTATTTGCCTTGCCTCTGGGCCGGCTCTTTGCAGCGTGAGCTGGAAAGTTACGTTTGTAACTTGATTTGCAGCATTTTGTGTCTACTTTTTGGGCATTTAGGGGAATCCAGCCCCTTTGGATTAACGCCCATGGGTGTCTTTATCCTGGAAGCCCCTTAGCGCCGTTTGCTTGCTACTGGTTTTGCTTTAGGGGGAGCCTTAAATGCAGCCCCGAGGCCCACAGAGGTGCCGGGATGGAGCCCATTGTGGAGGTCGGAGCCCTGGGTACTTGGGGCCTAAACCTCTCCTAAACCCCTCCTAAACCTCCAAGCTCTGTCTTTTGGGGAAGAGCCAGGCACGAAGAGCCCGGTGATAAAGAGAGGACTGCTCCGGAGCGGCGCTGGCGCAGGGCCCAGTGCCTGGACGGGGCCTTCCCTGTGGAGCAGTGGGCACCGCAGGGGAGGAGAAGCTGCGGAGCGGGAGCCTGGGAGCGGGGGCTCCACGGCCAAGGGCGTTGGGACAAGTAGGGCTTAATCAACCTGAGCCCAGTGCTGGGGAGGCCGGGCACGAGGCACAGGGCGCCCTGGGACTCAGGATATGAGCAGTGAGGAAGGACCGGGCCTTTCTCTTTTCTTTTTATTTTTCCTCCCTTTTTTCCCCTTATTTCCGTTTTATTATTATTGTTATTATTTATGATGTTGATGGGATAAATACCTTACAAAGAAAAACCCAAAATGTTTATCCAAGTCATCCATTTAGATACCTATAAGCATTTCCCATTTGTCCTGCTTTCCGAAACATACAGCTTTACATATTTTATCAATTTTAAATTCCCAGCTACTGGACATAACTTTTTTTTTAAGGTGTTCTGTACTTCAGTAATAGATAACTGATTATGAGGGGGCTCCAGAGCCCCAAGAAGAATCTTTATTCCGCTTAGTCTGTGATGTGTTGAAGCATTTCACAGTCAGACTGAGGTAAATTCTTTCATTTTTCTCCACTCCCAGGATAGCTGGAAACTCCTTTTCCTACTGTCCTGATAATGAGTAGCTCTAAGATTGATATTTTCTTTAAAATTTGGGGTATGTTGAGAGGTTATGTTTAGGCTGAAGCAGGAAAACGTTATAGCCAGAGAAGTTTTTCAGAAAACCTTGGAGTCTTTAACTGCTCTGGCTTTAATAATACTGCAGCAGATGCTAATAGGGCCCTGTTGCAAGAGCATTTTCAAATTAGAGGAGCTTGTTTTTGTGCTGTAGAAATTAGGTCTGAATGTACTAATATTACCCCCTCTTCTCTTTCTAGTCCTTGCCACAATAGCTTTTGCTTTCCTTCTGCTCCCGATGTGCCAGTACTTAACGCGACCTTGTTCGCCTCAAAACAAGTAAGGACTTGAGACCTTTTTTTTTGCTTCTCTTCTCAGATGTTCTCTTTATTTCTTTTAATGGGAATTCTTTCACGGTGGCCTTGCTTACGAGCATTAACCCCAGGGCTCGAGGGCTGATGTTTGTGCCTATTTTTTGTGCCAACGACGTTGCCCCCTTTGACACTAGGAAGCACCATTTCTGCAAGCCACGTGTGCTTGCCAGCCTGGGAAGTATGCTACCACTGCAGGGGACTCGATTTCCTAACAGTGGCTTTTGAGAAATTTGGCTTTTCTTTGGCTGAAATTGCTGAATTTGGGACTTGGTATTGGACACTAATGTTTATATTGGCCTGAGGGTGCTTATATTGGCCCATGTATGCTGTGAATGGCTCTCAGAGACTCTGGTTGCACGAGGGAAAATGGCAGTTATTAGTGTCATGCTTTGAAATCAAGGTCTTTGTTTTTTCAACCGGAGTTCATGTTGCAAAAAAGCACCATCCTAGTCAGTGCTAGGAAATACCTAGTAGTCATAGTAACAATTCCAAGCGAAGGGCCAAGGTTTTGTATGACTCCTTTCATTTCTTTAGCTCACGCTTTCCACACATCATTTGAATGTGAAGAAAGCTTCTATTTTGTTGTTGTTTTGGTACCTATTTGTGGCAAAGGAACTTCCCTTTCAGTGGCTCTTGGCACATTTCACCGGCCACCCAGCCTTGTTCCAGGAGTGTCCGTTTTCCCTTCTTTAAATGGAAACATAAAATTTTCCAGCTAACATTTGTGTGTTGTTCCCAGGATTTCCTTTGGCTGCTGTGGGCGTTTCACTGCTGCTGAGCTGCTCTCCTTTTCTCTTTCCGTGATGCTCGTCCTCATCTGGGTCCTCACTGGCCACTGGCTCCTTATGGATGGTGAGTAGGGGACTCGAGAGACTGGAGGGCTGGTTTGTGCCTCTTGTGACACGTCCAGGTGTTTGGTGATGACTCCTGAGATATACTGCTTTTAAAGCCTTGCTGAGTTGAAATATTGGAGTGACAGACTCCCTGAAAGCAGCTTCTGAGAGACGCATGCCCAGGTAGCGCCCGAGCCGCCTGTTTTTCTGGTTTGTAAGAGCTGCCAACAGTGCCAGGACACTCACAGGAGATGTCCTGCAGCACGATGGCTTGCCGCGAATTGCCAGTTTTAGTTAAAAATGTGTGGAAACACAAACTGCTTCTCAAGCATAACTGGATCTGAATAATCCGGCTCACCCTGCCATTCATCTTGTGCAGTTTTTGGGGTGGGATAATCGAATAACGCGTTGTGAGACAGCTCACAGTAGCCAGTTCTTTGATCTGCTTGATGCTTGCCAGTTAGCGTGGTGAGTTGGCTGAAGCTGGAAGGCCTCCAGTTGGCTTCAAGGTGGGATTTTTTCTGCTGGTTGAACTGAATTCACAGCTTACTGTTCCCCAAAGGAGCTTTCCTCCTCCTTTTCTGCCTTCCGAATCCCTTGTGCCAGTTTGGAATCACGTGGCGAGCTGATTCAGCTCACTAGAATGGTGCCGTCCTCTGCTGCCAAGCTCCTTTTCTGCTCTTGCAGTGAGATAAATTACATTATTGTGCACTCAGGTATGTGCTAAGCTTTGCACGTGGCAAGCAGCAGCTTGGTGTCACCGGAGAGGATGGAGTGGGATGCGAGAGCAGGGGGAGAAAGGGGCAGCCCGGAGCGGGACCCGCTTCGCAGCAGGGTCGAGCCAAAGGGGCCCAAGGCATCTTGTGAAGCGGCACCCTGATGTGGTCAGCTGCTTGAGAAAAAGAGCTGGGACGTTACTTACCCTTGAAATCACTTGTTGCAATAAAAAAATACCCTTCCCATCAGCTTCCCAGCTCCTCCAGGATGAGACTGCAGCAACAGCTCCTTAGCGTTAAAAGCTGTTGTGACAGCTTGATTCTTCCTTCTGTATAACAAGTGTGCTTTATTCATGCTTGTCACTGCTTTTAAAAGTGCCACTTTTTGTGTATTAGGGGATACCTTTTAAAATAGCCAGGTACTAAATGGAAAAAATGCAGATGAAGTTTGTTTGGTTCGGAGCAGAGCAGTTCACCATGAAATCAAGAACTCTTTCCGCCCTGCTGCAGCTTTGTAGCTAAATGGAGTGTCAAATGTGAATTTTGACAAAAGTCAGAAGATTTCTCCACATAGGGCCACACGTTTACTTCAAAACGATTTTGGGAGCGTTTCGGTCTGAAGTAGTGGGCTTTGAGGTAATTAATCTGCAGAGCACTGAAGTATCAGTGCAAAGCGGTTTCTAGATTTTATGTCCCTCGGTGGCTGAGTTGCTGAATAGCGTTGAATCCTTTTTTGCACAACCTTCCTGAATTGAAAAGCACTTAAAAATATTCCAAAGCTAGAAGGTAAGTGCCCTTTAGAAGGCTGCAACACAATTAAGGGACGGGTGCTGGTGACCCCAAACAGGCAGTGCTGTTTGTTGGCCTGTGTCGGGGAGGCAGGTGCTGCCGTTCCACCCCTTGCCCTCACTGCAGTAGAGGACATCACATCAGCCCTGTATCTGCCCCTTGCTTCTCTGCAGCTGATGAAGACGTGGGCTAGGCCCAGGCCACCACAGGAGGAGCTTGTGGTGGTCGAGCAGGTCCCCGGTTGCTGCTGAGCAGGGGCTGCCCCATGCTGGGGGCTCCTGCTCCAGCTCCCGGCCTCCATCCTGGCTGCACCTCTGGCCCCTCCGACGCTCTGCGTCACCCCATCAGCTTCCAGAGGGATGAGGGGATGGGCGCTTGTCCCTACGAGCCCCGTGGCGCCGCTGGGTGAACCTTGGTGGGGGAATCTGCCTCAGAGTGAACAGAGAGCAGGGAAATGCTTCCTGCTGCTTCCTTGCACCTACACAGTCCAAGAAGGGCAATTCCTGCCACAATAGTCCCAGTTGCAGGTGCTGCTGGCTCCCCTCTGCTCCTCAGCATTTGGTCGTAGGACTGTTTTCCGTGGTCAGGTGAGATGCTGTCGTCTGCAGGGGGTTGTTGTGGCCTGTGCGGATGTGCCTCTGCGGAGCACGAAGACAAAATCATCAACCATCCTCATTGCAACCTGCTAAAAAACGGATTAAGACACCTCCAAAGCAGAGGGAATGGCTGGAGATGTGACACGGGAATGCTGGTGCTGTGGAGCACCGGGAAGAGTGCGGTACCCAGGACCTGGGTACCTGGAGCTGGGCACAGAGGTGCTGCTTGTGTGTCCTCTCCCATGAATTTGCTGAAAAATGAAGCTTTAGAAGAAGCCAGTTCGCTCCGAGCTTCAGGAACAACATGCTCTTCCGACACCGACCGGGCTGCTCGCCGGGAGCTGGCACCTCCGGCAGCGTGCGGAGAGCGGGACCTGCCGCTATGCGGGCGGCTGGATCATGCACCAGACCTGGGGAGCCTCCTCACAGACACAGGGATATTCCTCATTCCCGGAATAGCCTTGCTCCCAAAGGGATGTGCTTGCAGTGACTCCGAAGCCGATTCACTCAGCTAATTGAAAACCCCTTGGGTTAATTCTTTCCTATTAACCTTGGTGGACCAGTCACCCAGCACTTCCCGCTGCAGCTTTTATCTACTTCCTTATGATTGAGCACGTATTTCTGTGGGCATCTGCCTCACATATTTGTCAGCAGCACCCAGCTTTGTTATAGGTGATTTTTTTCCTTTTTCCCTGTATAATTGGTGGTCTTTGCTGGAGAAATGAAGCTGACCTGCACTGTTGGCTGCAACGTGCAGCTCCTGGGCTGCCCTTGGGCCTGTTCTCACTCTTTCCTCATGGAGATTCTTGCTCCCCTTCTCTTTCTTCAGTTCACCAACATGATTTAAACCAGACACAAAACCTGTATAATTTATTAGCACGTGCACAGTGTTCCTTTCTGATGGAAAGGACTTCATTCCATCCCCTTTTATACTCGGTATTTGCTTTACATGGTGAGTCTTGGTGCCTGCCGCTGTTCACTGCAGTGATACAGAAATCCCCCTGTGAACAATGCAGAAAACTTGGTGCTGGTTGAAATCTTTCCACTTCCAGTTAATTATAACCTGGAAATCCTTTCCTAAATATAATCTTGCTTGAGCTATTATTACCATTGGCTTTAGACAGATCTATTTGATTTAAGACAGACTGTTCCTCTTGTATTTGCTCTTCTGCCAGGGGAAAGCCTGGGTTGAATTACTGCCCGCAGTTGTTCTGCTCATGGCTTTCATGTCACATTCTTTAAACCACAATAATTTGCTCATGTTTTACAACTAGTTACAACCACGCAGCCTGACTCAGGGTACATTTCAACCCGAATAATCCCCCTGCTTTCTTGCAATGCTCAGGATTGTGTTGGGGTCCTTGGTGCCACAGGATGAGGAGTGTTGGGCAGAGACATGACATGGAGAGTGTCACCAAAATGTTCTCTTTATGCGTCGCTCTGAGTGCCCCATCCTTCAGATAAAAGAGAAGGCTCAGAGGGGATCTGATTAACATGTATAAGTGCATGAAGGGAGAATGGAGGGATGAAAGGGCCGAGCTCTTCGCAGTGGTGGCCAGTGACAGGACAAGGGCTAATGGGTGTAAGTTGAAACCCAGGCAGTTCCATCTCCCTGTGAGGAGGAACTTCTTGACTGTGAGGGTGCCAGAGCCCTGGCACAGGCTGCCCAGGGAGGCTGTGGAGTCTCCTTCTCTGGAGGTCTTCAAAACCCGCCTGGATGTGACCAGGTGCCCTGTGCTCTGGGTGTCCCTGCTGGAGCAGGGGGTTGGACTAGGTGATCCCTAGAGGTCCCTTCCAACCTCAACCATTCTGTGATGCTGTGAAAATGCAAGATCCAAGGCTGGTGGGCCCAGTCTTCCCCAGTCATTTTGCCCTGAGGCTTTAGTTGGCCAAAACAAGATTCCAACTGCTTGCTAATTCTTTGTCCCATTAAACACGTGCGTTTGGTTTGCAAATGTCTGCATGCCTAAACTGAAATGGGGGCCCAACAGAGCACCGTTATTTCATCTGAATACACTGATATAGTAGACAAAAGTTGATTTTTAGATATATTTAGTGATTTACTTGTAGGCAGGTGAAACATACTCAATTGTCCTTTAAATTTTAAAACTGGGCTCAAAAAAAACCTGCAGGAAATCACAAAAATGCGGATTTGTGTGCGTGTATGGGGTCTTGGTTTTCAACCCTAACAAAATATTTAGAGCTGTGAGAAAACATTTAGAGTCACATTGAGCTGTGACTGCAAATAAATGTCGGGGGCATTGCACGTGCTCAACCTGCTCTTGGTTCAGCTCTAACAGCCCTGAGCTTGCAGCAGCAAACGTCAATCGGAGTGAAAACCAGACCCGGGGAGAAGAGGAAGGAAAAGATGTGCCCATATTTTCTTCTTTTCCCTTCATTCCTTTGGCTTTCACAGAGGTTTCTGTTGTTAAGAAATCCTTGTCTATTGAAATTAAGTGTATTTCATAGTGCTCAGGCAGTCTTGCACAATCTTGCCCAAAGAGAAATGGGCTTTGAGTGTTATATTATCCTGCCGTGTTGTAACTTGTCATGTAACCATGCAAATATATGAATTATTAGGAATAAAGGATTATATTTATTTACTTAGGCATTTCTTACAAAACTCCTTGCAGCTCAAAACTTGAGTTTGAGGCATGAAGGTTCAAAGTTGAGAGTCTGGGGAGTTTTCCATTTGTTTTTTAATTGGATAGTCTGTCTTATGGGAGAGAGATGGTCTGTAGGACACTACATAGAAAAGCATTTCTTTGTGGTGAATAGTGGAAGTGAATGGACTGGACAGCTGTGTCTGAAGAGGTATTTCTGTTTCTGTAGGGACATGTTTACAATTGGTTACTGAATATTTTTTTGCCTTTCTTTTTAACTCTGGTAAGAAGAACTTCATTATCTGGAGACCTTAGAAAGCCACCTAATGCCTGCAATGCCAGATAGGTGCAAATGGAGGCTTGATTTGGGGTCTCTTCTGTGGGTTCTGCTGGTTTTTGGAACAAAGGCTGCTATTTTTTTGAGGAACTAATGGTGGTTTTGCATTTTGCAGCTCTGGCCATGGGCCTGTGCGTCGCAATGATAGCCTTCGTTCGGCTGCCGAGCCTGAAGGTCTCCTGCTTGCTGCTCTCCGGCTTACTAATTTATGATGTCTTTTGGGTAAGTGTTGTTGCTAAAACCCTTCATACCCCTCAGGTTTATAATTGGCCTTTGGCCTTTTCCACGGGGAGCAGAGAGGTGTGGAGCTGATGAATCCCGGCAAAGTCAGCAGCACCGCTGCGAGAGGCTAAAGCAGTTTGTGGCAGGAGACAGAAGGATTCCCTCAATAGTTGAAAAAAAAAATTAGAAATAAGATATGAATGTCTAAATTTTGATTTTAAAATTTTGATTTTGATAAGAAAAAACTTAAAAGTTGAGATCTGAAGAGGCTGCAGAGGAGAGGGAAGGTGCCCAAGGAAGCGGGTCTGGGTGCGCGGCGCCCACCCGCCCAGCGCAGAGCAGCAGCCCAGGGCTCCAAATAGGAGCACGGAGTGACTTGCAGCAAGCGAGGTCGGCGTCAAATCTTTTTGACACTCTTACAAGTAACCTGACAGAATGTGTTTGGAAATGCTGAGGAGCATTTTGTTTCACCTTTACATAACGTTCAGCGGTGATTCAGGGTGGCACTTGCTGCCAGCTCCGGCAGAGAATCCGTTTCCCGCTGTGAAGAGCTCTAGTAGTGTAAGAGCCTGTTGGAAATAAATGTTTTATAGTTTAATTTGTGAGGGAGTGTCCTCTGCTTCCTACCTTCCTCATATTTTCAGCATCTATCCTGTTACCTTTGCTGGTGCTTGTAGTCCTTATTATACCTTTGCCAAGCAAGCAGTATCTTGATATCAGGAAGCCTATTCCAGTTATTCTTGGAGACTAATAGTGTTAAAACCTTTATCTGAATTTTTGAGATACGTTTTACTTTTCGTCCTGTTATATGCACACACGTAAAGAGAAATTTTAGGCAATTTCCTTTGTCTTGAATAGGCAAAGCTAAAGAAATTCTTAAAAATGGTGGATTGGAGTTGCTATAGAATTGTATTTCCTGATGATTTCCTTGCTCCGTAGGTCTTTTTCTCTGCCTACATCTTCAACAGCAACGTCATGGTGAAGGTGGCCACACAACCAGCTGATAATCCCCTTGATGTTTTATCCCGAAAACTTCACCTGGGACCAAACGTGGGCAGAGATGTTCCCCGCCTATCACTGCCTGGTAAACTTGTATTTCCAAGGTAAAACCAGCAGCTCTTTTTTACTGTATTAGAATTTTTCCTTCCCTGTACTTTCTAGTAGCACTAATTAATGCTGATGGAAGATACCACTTATCTCCCTGGTCAGTTGCTCCCTCTTTAGTCATTGCTGTTCTGGAGAAATTAGGATCTTTGGACTAGACCAGTAGTAGAGTTTCACATTTTGAGTGGACAGTACCAGATACCTCAAAGGAAAAGGCCAAAAAAAAGGACATTATGGGCAACCAGTAAAGAAGAGGAAAGATTTGTAGATTCTCTCAAGCCCTGCTTCGGTTTTCCAGAAGATTACCAGCTTCGAGTTGATGAATTTTTGCCCTCCAGCCTTTCGTGCTTTATGGTTTGGTGAAGTAACTTGCATGTTACAACCAACCATTTTTCTTGCATAGGGTTAGAATTGAGAATGGGGCTGCAAGTGCCTGTTACCGCTTCCCCCACAGTGTTGAATGTCAGTGCTACAAACCAAAGCACAAGTGGGAGAACAAATGCAGCAGTTGAGGAAGCCAGCTGAGCAGTGCAGGAGCATTGTGAGCACTGTCTCCTCCTGTGCCCCAAATTTGCGGCTTCTGGAGTAACAGCAAGAGATCAAAAATCACATTTTAATGTCTTTTGCTTTAAAATAATTCCAAAAGTACCAAAGTGGCACTGCAGAGAACTAGGAAAGGGGGATTGCATTGCCCCATCCTTTCTGTTATTGCTGGCTACACCTGGCGAAGAGGGGTCACAATGAGAATATATATGATAATGTGATAATATATATAGATAATAATGAGCGGTAGGCACAGAGCACGTTTGCATTTGCTGTCTCCTAGCATGCAAAATGTTAGCAGGTAGGTTAAAATATGCCCTGTTGACAACTAGACATGCTTCCCTGCACACACATGTGGGTTGCTCAGCTCTAATGCTGCCCCTGCAGGATCTGTCACCTACAGCTTAAAAGCAAAAGGAGCTGAGGTTTAGCACAGCATTTGAATAACCTGGATTGCTACCTGATAGGAAGCTCTTGGGAAGGGAGTTGGTCACTGATCTGAGCAGTGAAGACTAAATAGTGGGTAAGGCCTATGGCGGAGGGAGATTATTTACTGCAATAATTTTCTTAGTTTTCTTAGTGTTTCTGATTTTGAACTGCTAGGATTGGCCTGATCCAGAAATAAAGACCGAGTGCTTCAGAAGTTATAAACACATTAAATTGCCTTTCATTACTTTGCTTGCTTTCTTTAGATGTTGGAATATTGAAAATACAGAAATTAGAATTGATTGTCTGCTCTAATAAAAAAAAAAAAGTTCATTTTGTGATTTTGTGATAACTTGCCTTCATTTTCATGGAAAAGATCTTGAGGTTTAGATAATGACTAATTTTAGTTCTTGATCTATTTAGCAAACGACTTTGATTAAAGAAGCTGATGAAAGTATTGTTTTCTTGATGCTTTGCCTAAATGATGCCAAAGATCTAAATAGTCAATGAATCAATTTATTGTCTGGCATTAGAGGTCTTTGTGAATTGAAACAAGGGCGCAGTCTTAATATTAATCCAGTAATTTGATAACTGTGGGCCTGGTTTGGAGCAATGTATTATTGCTGCCAAAATGGGCATATTTAAAGCCAAGGGGGTTAGTGATGAGCTCACTGAGCCTGGTGGCTGCCGCTGCAGCTTCCACGTGCAAGTTTGTCCATAGAATCACGTGCAAAATGAAGCCAGGAAAACAAGGGGGGGGGGCGGGGGGATTGCAGAGCTTGCCCGGCGCCTCGGGCACAGACCCAATTTCAGCTGCTGTCCAGTTCCACAGGCAGCCACTTCTCCATGCTGGGCATCGGCGACATCGTGATGCCGGGGCTGCTGCTCTGCTTCGTGCTGCGCTACGACAACTACAAGAAACAGGCCAGCGGCGACGCCTGCGGCGCCCCGGGGCCCGCCAACATCTCCGGCCGCATGCAGAAGGTCTCCTACTTCCACTGCACCCTTATTGGATACTTCGTAGGTGAGGAACTGGTTTAGGGAAAGCCGCCTCGTGGGCTTAAAAGGTCATGGAACCGGTAGATAAGAGATTTAAGACTTTGGTTATATTCCTTTTTCTTTTTTTTAACTCCCCACTCCCTTTTGCTTTTATTGGCATGGTCTAGGGGAGAAACCCCTGTCTATGGATTTCCTTCTAAGGATTTATTTATTTATGTATGCATTTATGCATTTATGTATGCATTATGCATTATGCATGTATGTATGCATTTTTACTAGCACGTTTTTGTGGGAATTCCTAGATGGTCGGCACTGTAAAGAACACATATAGGTCATTCCTGTATATTTGTATCCCAGCCCTGAAGCTTTAGGATCCTGGGGCATTTGTGGTACATGCAGGGAATTGTAAATAGACACAACTGCCGTGCTCTTTGTGGTATGATGATGGAGGCATCCCCCTCCTCATTGCATAACAGCTATTTTTCCCCTGAGGTCGGGATATGTGTGTGCATATCCTGAATGACTCCGGTTCTCCTGAGGATGAAGAGGAAAGACTGTTTTGTCACAGTCTTTCCCCCATCATGGCCTTTGTCCTCACCTTCCCTTTGGACCTCGGATTGGTGGCCTTGAGACATCAGCCCTGGAGCTGAAGTCGAGCCCGTGTGGGGTGTCCTGCTCATCTCCTACCCCTGCTGTCTGCTTCAGTTACTGCTTCGTCTTTGAGACCGAGACCGGCCATGACTTCCTGAGGGCAGCTTAATATTAAAGCAGAACATTTGTTCACTTTTGGTTTTGTTTTATGTTTACTCAGGGAAGTGAAGCACAGATGAGGAACTTCATAGCCCATCTCTCAAAATGACGGGAAAGGGAACCACTTTGCCCCAGAGAAGGAGAACAATCAAATGCTACTGTAGGATATTTATGGTCTTCCTTTTTCCTCTTACAGGTCTATTAACGGCAACAGTAGCTTCTCGTATCCACCGGGCAGCCCAGCCTGCCCTCCTCTATTTGGTACCATTTACTTTATTGCCGCTCCTCACTATGGCCTATTTAAAGGTGAGATGGCTCTGTCTGTTCCCAGCCGGAATGCTTTTTCTTTCCCAGAATCCCAGAATGGTTGAGGCTGGAAGGGACCTCTAGAGATCACCTAGTCCAGCCCCCTGCTCCAGCAGGGGCGCCCAGAGCACGGGGCATAGGGCGGCATCCAGGCGGGTTGGGAAGGTCTCCAGAGAAGGAGACTCCACAGCCTCCCTGGGCAGCGTGTCCCAGGCTCCGTCACCCTCACAAGGAAGAGGTTCTTCCTCTCATGGAGATGAAACTTTGGGTGACCAAGCGCTGAGCTCAGGGGAATCCTCCCTTTGGAGGACTCGGGAACCCAGAGAGTTCCTGGCTCGTGAGTGGAAACGGCCCAAGTTCTGAGGTGTTAAATGCTGTTTTAAATAAGAGAATTTCTCCTTGCCCTTGGTCATGAAGAAGGCATGCAAAAAGGGAGGAGAGGCAGGTCCTCGTTTGCCTCTCTCCAGTGACGTGTTATGGCCTGAAATTTTTAAAACACAGCTTTCCTGGGGTCAAGGCCGCTCTTGCAGCCCCATCCAGCCCTCTGCAGAACAGCAAAGCACAGGTTTGCTCACAAGAGCAAACCCTTGCGAGCAGAAATCCATTTTAGGGAGATCTGCCTAAAGATAAGACGCTTTGAGCTAGCGTGGAAGGGGTTTATTTTATGTTCTTCAATACCCCTTCCAAAAGGCATTGCAGAATTGATTTGCTTTAAGAACAGCTTGTTCCTAGAGGTATTTTTTAATCTGATTTGAGAGTTTCTGAGTGAATGTTCTTCCTGCTGTCCAGGGGGATCTGCGCCGCATGTGGTCTGAGCCTTTCCACTCTAAGTCCAGCAGCTCCCGTTTCCTGGAAGTATGATGGAACAGATGGAAAGTGACCTGAACTTCTGCCTTGGTCCTTTTCACTTTAACGTGTGGCTTCGTCGTCTCCTAGAGCTGGACTGGCTGGTACTCGAGAAGGTACCAGTTATGGGACTTGAAGCAATGGACTTGGTGTTAAAAGGAGAAAAAGGAGGAAGAAAACAAACAAACAAAAAAAAACGAAAAAGCAGAAGCTGAACATCTTGGAGCTCTGTGTGATTCTTTTTCTCCACGCAGATGTGGAATTGGGGACCCTTTGTGCAACTGCAGCCACTTTCCTCTTTTCCTCCCTCGACCGGATTAGCACCAGGCTGTGACCTGGGTGAGCGAGGAGGAGACAGACTCGAAACTGAGAACGGCGTGAGGTCGTTCAGACATTTGTGAACACTAAAAGAGAAAACAATTAAGCCAACTGAAACCGCTTCAGAGAACCCCTCCTGTGCATTGGGACCAGTTTCCTGTTGGACTTTGGTTTCAAAAAGAACTGAGACAGAATCTCATCTGTCACATTTTTTTTTGTTTGTTTTTGGGTTTTTTTTTTTTTTGATTTATTAAATATTTCCTGTGGTGTGAGGTTACTTATTAAATCCACAGACATGGAGTGACTTCTTGCAGTATACATATAAAAAAGAAAAAAACTTTGTTGTAACAAGTTACATTTCCACCCAGATGTCATGTTGCAGTGAAAAAGGGCACGATTTTTATACATATATATATACACACATATAGATATATATATGAATAAATAAAAAAAAAAAAAAAGGAAAACCTGCTAAGATCATGCTATGTAGCAGACAGGGGCTTGCTGTAATTTTTAGCATGTAGAGCAGTTTACTCGGGCTTTCTTGTATATGAATCTACAATGAGCTGCTGTTTTCTTTCCTCCCCATCCCGAAACAACCTGCGATTTCAGACCCCGTGTAGTCTTTGTACCGATTGTACCCATTCATCTTAGGGGCTGTTTGATTTTGAACAATGTAGCAAACTATGGAAGAAAAAAAGTCAAAATCCAACCCTGTTTATTTGCGGGGGGAGGGAAGGGGAAGGTCCTTTTTTGGTTCTATTTTTTTTTTTTTTTCCTTTTCCCCCCCCCCGCCAAAAAAAGCTCCCTTGCAGGTTTTTAGTAGTTCCTTCCCGACCTGGTGCATGTATTATAGCAGCAAGTGTCTTTGTGCTTCTGATCATAGTAATGTATCACTTGTAAATACATTTTTTTCTATTTTCTATTTTTTTGTATTTTTTTGCATTTTTGTTTCATTAGTGTGCTGTATTTTTCCATGCCCCTGCCCCTTAAAAAAAAAAAGAAAAAAAAAAACAGAAAAAAAAAGAAAAAAAAAGAGAAAAGGAAAAAGAAAATTGTCCTTTACTGTTGTGCCTGGTCGAGTTTGTGCGTTGGCTGCTTTGTTGTACCTGAGAGTCTGTTAAAATGTGGATTTTTAAAAAAAAAAACCCCAAGCAGTTGCAGCGCTGTTGTTTTATTGAGCGGAAGGCAGCAGCTTCTGAGCCCCTGGGGGCTCTGCGAGCGCCGCGGCCGCGGGAGCCGCCGCCTGCGGGACGGGGTCGCCGGGACCGGCCGCGCTCCGGGGGCAGGTAAGGAGGGTCCGGGGGTGTCCGGCCGGGAAGCGGGACCGGGAGCACCGGGACAGCGGCTGTGTGTCCCGCGCCCGGCAGCTCCTCTGCGCTCATCCCTGGATGGGACGCCAGGAAGCAGGCAGGGACACAGGGCTCACACGGCTGCGGGTGGCCTGGGTGCTTGGAGGGAGGGTCTTTTAATGACTTCCCTGCTCCTGCCTTCCCTTCCAGTGAAAGGGAGTGCGACTTGTTTTAATTGACTCTGCTTTGCTGTTTGCAGGGGTCCCGGGTGAGGTGCTGCAGCCTGGGACAGTGACCGGACCCAGGGCCGGCCCAGCCATGGACAGAGCTGCCAGGACGGCTCCCAGGTCGGTTCCTTCTTGTACAAAATGAACCAACCGTAGTTTAAATTTAATTTTCTACCTGTGTTTCCTTCCACGCTGTAGCACGGTGCTTGTTTCATGACCTTGATTCTGTTTGCTGTCATTTCTGCAGGTTTTGGCCTGTTGTTCCAGCGCCGCGCGTGGCCGTGGCGCCATGGGGATGTCCTGCTCCCCTGGGGGTGACCGAGCGGCTCTGCCCCCAGCTCCGGCTGCTGGGAGCCGGGCTGGGGAGACCGAGTTTCACCTGTAACGTAGAGAAACCAGTGGAATTGATGGAATTACCATGGGGAAACGGTGCAGAAACCGATGGAATTGAGGGAATTACTGTGGGGAAACAGGGCCACTGCCCCTGGGCTGTGACTGCGGCCTGAGGAAGGAGCCCAGGCCCTGTCACCTCCCCTGGGCTGCCCACGCTCATTCCTGGGTCTGCGTTGGCTCCGTGGCTGTCCCAGCCCCTCGTCCTGCTCCGAGGTCTGTCCCGGTGTCACTTTTCCCCCTTGGGGACACCGGCTCTCTTCATGTCCAGCCCAAGCCCCAGCCTCGCCCGGAGCCGCAGGTGGGCGCCAGGCCCGGCCCTGCCTTGTGCTGGGGCTCTGCCTGGGGCGGCTCTCGGCAGAGCTCCATTTAACCCTGCAAAACCGATTCCTGTTTTGTCTCTTTAGCAGTTTCTCTTCTGCAACAACCCTGCGGAGCAGCCAGACGCACTAACGTGAGGCTGTTTTAGCTCTAAGCCGCAGCGGGCTGGATGGAGGCCCTAGTGCCTTGCACTGACAGGTGCTGCTCCCCGGCTGGGCGCTGCGGCTGCAAGGAAGGTACCAGGAGCTGCTGGTGGAACGATGAGGGCAGAAGGGAGCAGCTTAGGCTGAGCCTGGGCTCACGTCTTAACCTAACTGTTGTTCATCACGTTGTGCCTGGGTCGGCTCCTGCAGCGCCGGCGCCCGGGGGTTTCCCAGGGCAGAGTGGCTGGAGGCGGCAGCCGGGCTGGAGGAAGCGGCCGCCGCTGCCCCGTGTTGGGCACCGGGGCCCCGCGAGGCTTCGGCGCGTGGGGAGGGACCGGCTCACGCTGCGGGCGCCGTGAGGATGTGTCGGGAGCCGCAGCCACCGGCACAGAGGGCAGCCGGTGCCCGCGCGTGGTCCCCATCAGCCCACGGCGCCGGGCGGCCCTCGCGCCCCGGCCCTCGTGCCCAGCGTCTCCGCAGCGGCGCCGCTGCCCTCGCGGCGCCCGCCCTGCCCGGAGTGACTGCGGCTGCAAGGAGGAAACCGGCCTCCTGCGCCTGCGAGCGCCCCGCGTGGAGACCCGCGTGCAGCTGCAGGGCAACGAGGGAGATCACGTTTAAACCGCGCACTGATGGGCCTTTGAATGCGGGATTTATTTGCTTATCCAGTGTCTTGTGTGCAATGCAGCTAATTTGCTATTTTCACTCGGTGCAAATATAACCAAATGACACTGCAGACAAATCACCGTTGGCTCTAGTGGGGCCTGTTTGGACACGAGGCTCCAGCTCTGCATTTAGAGCCTTCTGCTGTGCTCTTCTTGTTCTCCACAGGCACTCCTAGCCAATGTTAACACTTCCTGGTAGGGTTTTTTTTTTTTTTTCCCCCCCCTGTATCAGCTCCTCATTTCCTATGAATGACAGAGATTAAAGGCTAGTACTGCTCCATCAGTCACCATCTTTTCTTTTAGACGGTGGTTGGTTTCACTCCAGCTGCTTTGAGGAGGGTTTCTGATCTATGTATGTGGGTTTTCCTGCCTTTTATTTTTGCTTCGCTCTCTAAGAGAAAAGCCGAGCTTTTATTGGCAGCTGAGCCCGAGCTGCTGCTCCTTGGTGGCTGAAATAAAAGCCAATCCCACGCGCTTTGCTTTGCGCCACCACCGACAGCGAGCACAGCCTGTGAGCACCGCTCTGGGTCCCGAACTGCCGGGGCCTGAACGACAGGCGCGAGTCAGGGGTGACACAGCTCAACAGGGCTCTGCTGCTGCAGGAGAACATGGACCTACCTGGTCATGCCGACCTGCACGGAGGCTCCTAAACCTGTAACTTGTAAATCGTAGGCCCTCGTGCAGGTATTTGACTTCAGAGGGAACCCTCCCATTTGAAGCCAGGGCTCTGGCCAGGTCCTAGACCCGCATGGTAAGGAAAGCAGGACAGGCCAGATGTTACTGCTCACAAAGAAAACATGGGTTTTGCTGATTTGCTTCTATAAAAGCTGGACCCTCTTGCAGCAACTTTGGCACCCTCAGGGGTGGCCTAAGACCTCCCAGGTGCCAGGAACATTGTCCCAACCCTGGCTGTCACAGCGGCTGTGCGGCAGGATGACGGTAACGTATTCGTGCAACTGGTCATGTAGCTTTTTCTTAATCATAATCTCTTGCTCATATAGCCATGGTTAAGTGCATTACCTTGCTTATTTGGTCTGATGTTAAAACCCAGCACAGAGCAGGCTTATTGTTTCGTCTCTTCACTTCCTTATTATTTGTTATTAACAGTAAACTCGACCTGTCCTTCTCTGTGTTCTTTCCGGGGAGTCCCGTGTCCCTGTACTCGTTGCTGTGGAGGCACCATGACTGTCCCCCTAGGGTTGGCAGCGCCCCCCCGGTCCCGGTGCCGCCCGGGCCCAGAAAGGAGCTGGTGACCGGCAGCAGCCCCAGCCCGAGAGGCAGCGGGACAGGGGATTGTCCTCCTGCCCCCTCTGCTTGGATTTAGGCACTGGTTATGGCAGAGCAGGGTGGGACAGACTCCTACAAACAAGAAACGTCCACTGATGGAGATAGCACCTGACTTCATGCAGCAGCAATGTCCCGGTGCCTCCACCAACTCCAAAGGGCTCTTCCCCCTTAGGAAAAGGCTGGCACCCCACCCTAGAGCCAGTGGTGCTCCCGCTCTCCCCACAGGTATCCCTGCACTGAATGGTCCAAAGGCCAGGCATGGTGAAGAGGAGGGTGGCGGGGAGGAAGGCTCCCCTCCGGCGCCCTCAGCTGCGGTAGCCCTTGAGCAGCTGCCCCGCGATCACCAGCCGCTGGATCTCGCTGGTGCCCTCGTAGATCTCGGTGATCCGGGCGTCGCGGTAGTGCCGCTCCGCCGGCATCTCCGTCACGTAGCCCATCCCGCCCAGGATCTGGATGGCCTGAAAATCACAAATGAATTGTGTGTGGGGCGGGGGGGCATGTCAAGGAATTTCCTTTCCACAAGACCGAGCCTGCTTGGAAGGTGCTAATCCCTCTGCAGGAATAACTGGTGGAGCCCAGGAGGCTGCCCAGCCCCTCTGCAACCAGAATCAACTGGGTAACAGCAGCACCGCTGCAGCCGGGGCAGGGACGGCGCCGATGGAGCCGTGTTTGGTAACTGGCCACCATCACCCTGACACTTCACGGGAAGAGAAAAACAAATGCAGACACCACTGGGCCTGCGCCCTGCTGCTCGTCCTGCATGGGGCACCCAGGCGCCCTCCGTGTCCCTGTGCCCAGCAAGGCCCCTCGGACACTGCCCGGAACGAGGCGGGCTGTGAAGGTACCGGAGCTGAGGGGCCTCCCCCAGGGGACGGCCACACCTGGCTCCAGGTCCAGCTCCAGCGTGATACGTGAAGCTCTCCAATATTCCAGCAGGGATCAACACCCCACCACCCATTTCATTCCACCTGTCCTCAGCACCAATCACAGCTGAGACTCATTGGGCCCTTACCTGATGCGAAATGGCTGTTGCAGCTTCTGATGCAGCCAGCTTGGCCATTGCAGCTTCCTTTGGAGAAGGAAAAAGTCACAGAGAAGGCAGGTAGCACCAAACATGACACTTGCACAAGAAGCCTGAACACGGGGCGGCCTCAGCTGCTGGCCGGGCACTCTGGCTCTCGGAGGCCGCCCCTGACCCAAGATAAACACAGACCCTGCAGGCTGGCAAGGCAGACAACAGAATGGGTCCAAAAGCCTCTGAGAGGACTAAACCCGGTCCTGCTGGCTGCTGAGAGCTGAATGCAGTAAAATGCTGCACTACTTGATGAGGATCGGGCTGCGCGAGCCCGCGCGCAGAGCGGCCGCACGCACCTTGGTGAAGGGCTTCCCGTTGTCCTTCAGCATCGCAGCCCTCCAGGTGAGCAGGCGCGCGCCCTCCAGCGCCACAGCCATATCGGCCAGCTTGAACTGCAAAACCCGCGGGCGCCGCTGCGGTGGCTGCAACGGCCCCTGCATGGTGCCCTGCACAGCACCCTGCAGCCACCCCGTCCCAACCGGCTGACCCGTCACCAGCTCCAGCAGCTGGGGCTGCCCCACCTGAACCGCCTGCAGCTTGGTGATGGGCGCCCCAAAGGCCATTCTCTTCTCGGCGTATTCCACGGCGCAATCCAGAGCTGCCTGGGCTATTCCCAGAGCCTGGGAGGCGATCCCAATCCTGCCCCCATCCAGGGTTTGCTAAAAAAAGAAAAAGAGAGGATTTAAATCAGTCTTCAGCAAAACATATCCAGACACAAGAGCAAACCTGGGAGCGGCTGCTCTGGCCAAAGGGCTGACGGGAACCCTTCAGTGCGCTCCTCTGGCTCGCTGTGCACTTCACTTGACTGCAAATGAACCCAGGAAAGCTGCTCTCCTTTCCTTTCTAACCCCTGTTCTGATACACACACACTTAAACAGGCACTTCCAAAGTGACTAGTGAAGTGGGAGGACCAAAACTCAGACTCCAAACACCTGGCATTAGTCTTTTAACTGCTTACCAGCCTCACCATGTGCACTGCCTGAGGCAAGGAGGGATCAGGCGTGCCTTGATAGCCTTAAAAATGTCTGGTGACTGGAGAGTTCCCTCATTTTGGGACATAAGAGGATGGGTTCTGCTCTCCAGGGAGCTCAGGCTTTTTAAAAAAGTCAGTCCAACAGCTGGTGTTTTGCCCTTATGGGGAAAGGAGGAACATTTCCAGGCGGGAGCGCCTCACGCCAGGGAATCTGCTGCTCCACAGCTGTCCCATTTCCCCTCACAGGTCACGTGTGGCTCAGATTTCATCCATCTCTGGCGGTGCATTCAGGACAATGATTCTCTGCCAAAGGATTCAGGGGGAAAAAATGCAGCATTCTTCCTTTTTCCTATTCTTAGAAGTCAATGAAGGGGTACAGGCAGCTTTTGATTGTTGGAAAAACTTTTAAGAGCATTATAAAGTTGACCCCTCTCCCAGCCTAGGGCCTCTGCTGCACCGACGCTCCCTCATCTGACACCTACAGAGCCTCCCTGAGGAAAGTGTAGCTGATGGTTTATGATAAACCACGGATTTATCCAGCCCTATCACTGATTTCTCCTGCGTGCCAAAGGTCGGCTGCCCTGTGCCACAGCCCAGCTGGTGTTAGTAGGTCTGGGCCCAGTGAGTGTTAAGCCTGGGCACAGCTTTGCCAAGGCGGAGCAGCAAGGCCGGGCCTGGCGGCCCCGTGCCCGTCTCACCATGGCGATCTTGAAGCCCATGCCCGGCTGCCCCAGCAGGTTGTCCCTGGGGATGCGGCACTCCTCGAAGATGAGGTTGGCGGTGGAGGACGCCCGGATCCCCAGCTTGTCCTCCTTCTTGCCCAGCGAGAGGCCGGCGGTCGGCATGGGCACCAGGAAGGCGCTGATGCCCTGCGAAGACGAGAACCGCGCGCTCAGGACCCCGCAGTGCTGCAGATCTGCTCCTCCTCCTCATCCAATGTTTTCCATGGGACTTGCACATTCAGGTACCCAGGGGAGCGTTCAGTGACAGAACAAAGTCCCGGTGCTTTAGTCCCCCTGCCTCAATGCCTGCCCAGCACTGACGGTCCCCAGGGCCTCCACAAAGGGCCTCTCCCTCCCAACCCCTCTGCTCCCAGGCCTGTTTCCCGGCCGGCACCTTGTGCTTCAGGGCTTTGTCGGTCGTGGCGAACACGACGGCGGCAGCAGCGTCCCAGGCGTTGGTGATCCAGGCCTTGGTGCCATTCAGAACCCACTCGTCGCCGTCCAGGCGGGCCACGGTGGAGGCAGCGCCCGCGTCGCTGCCGTTTCCTGAGCAGGGCACCAGGTTAACAGTGTGGCAGTTAGTGCCTGGCGTGCCAAGGCTTTATTTAAATAGAATACTTCTAAATTACTCTTCTGCAGGCTGTTATTGTTTGACAGACCTGACGTCCATCCTAATTTTGGTTAGGGGAAGATGGTACCCTGCTAGCTTTGCCACAGGAATGGTAACGGTCACATCACCTGGTTCACTAAGGGCAAAACACCCGATTTTCTCCCCGCTGGTGAAGGGCGTAATCCACTTCTGCTTCTGTTCTTCAGAACCAAACTTGAGTATCGGCCCTAAGTAGAGAGACTTCAAAAAATTGAGAGCTGTGTTAGAGGCATCAGGCGGCTACAAGGAGCTCAGGAGCCGTCCTGCTGTGCTCCCAAACCCACCGCGCTCGCCAACAGCAGGGCCCATCCCTCCGGTTCTCCCCTCTCCGCTGGCACAACCGCCCCCAGCCTCCAGACCCCCGGGGGCCACTCACGTTGTTGACGCTCATGATGACGCCGGTGGAGGCGCAGCCCCTGCTGATCTCCTCCACGGCGAGCGAATAGGCCAGGTAGTCGAGGCCGGCCCCGTTGTACCGCTCCGGCACGTCCATGGCCAGCAGCCCCAGCTCCCCCATCTTCTTCACCTGCGAGCAGAGAAACCTCCGGGCAGCACCGGCATCCTGGCAAAAACACCCCCACGAACACCCCGACACAGGCGGAGGCTACGCGCACAGCGGGACACGGTGTGTGACCAGGGGGGACCCCGCACGCAGGCGCTGCGGACGAGGACGCGGCTCCTGCTCATTCCCTTTGCTGCCTGGACCAAGGGGGCCTTTTCAGCCCAAAACGGGGGTTTCAGCCTTGCCCCCGGTGCCTCGGCCGCCCACCGAGTTCTGCCCTCGGCCACTCGCTCGGTGGGAGCTCTCAGTGGGAAACAGCTGATAAAAAACGGTGCTACGTTACCTTCCAGCGTGCTGGGCTTCAGCCTAGGGCTGCACAGGGAGAGAATTTCACAGAGTGAATGACCCACGGAACAGGCTGCAAGAGGCTGGGGTTTAACCCCATCAAAGGCAGGTCTTGCTTGTCATGGAAGGTACTGACCGCTCATGGTGCACAAGCTGCACCGGGGCTCTCACACTGAGGCTCCTGCTCTGCAGCACTTGCTAGCATCTACCTAGGAACCTGGCAATTCAGATTTTGACATAAAACAGCTTTTAGCTGTTGTTGTATTTAAGATACATTAATTTATCCCAAACTTTCGGTGCTGCAGAAATGGGTTTTCCTTTCACAGGCTTCTGTCTGCTTTAACAGGAGCAGCGGGGATTATTTTCAAGGAGCGCTTTGTTTCCTGTACGGGCCCTCAAAATACTGCTCCTTTACATGCAATCCTGAGGGGGGAAGCACGAAAATAACCAGCTCTATGTTCACTGACTTATCAAAAAAATCGGAGTTTTCCTCTGCGCTTTCACGTGAAACTCCTCCAGAGTGGCGAGGCAGGGAGAGGGCCGCGTGTCCCGCGCCGGCTCCCGCGCGCTCACCTGCGCGGCCGGGAAGCGGTGCTCCCTGTCGAGCTGCGCGGCCGCGGGCGCCAGCTCGCGCTCGGCGAAGTGGCGGCAGGTCTGGCGCAGCAGCCGGTGCGTCTCGGGCAGCTCGGCCGCCTGGAACACCGCGTGCAGGCGGCGCGCGCGGCCCAGCGCCTGCGCCAGCGCTGCGC